TAATATGTGTGTGTGTGTGTGTGTGTGTGTGTGGCGCGCGCGCGCGCGCATGTGTGTGGAGACGTTATAAGAAACCATCTTATATCTAAGAATTATATTTTATTATCTGCCATATATCTATAATGTAAATAAAAATTGTTACAAATATAAAAAGAGTAGTATCTGGCTCGGATAATTTCGTATCTCATATAAATCTTACGACTTTATTATTATCATTTATACATTATATGTCATGTATAAAATACGTCCTTTGATGAAAGTATCAATGCAGACACATGAAATGGAAATCGTGTATAAAACAGAGAAAGGAAAAAATAGTAAAATGATACATATACACGCATCGATCCTCGGAAATCGTCGGATCATTTTGTAAGCACATTTTGTAATATCCTGTTTGAAGATACAACAAAAGTGCATATTTACAGTTACGAATGTGTATTTACATAACATCGATCGATAAGTAGCGGTCTCCTATACTTAGCATGAAAAAGTCGGCAGTAAACGCTTGGATTATCTCAATGTAAAAATGTAGCTTACACACACACACACACACATATATATATATATATATATATATATATCTGTGTATAATTGAACTCTTATCATCTAGAAAAAATGATATAGTTGGTTGAAATGAATAGAGAAGGGTGATGGACCCTTACACTTGACAAGTTGACTGTTCGATGCTCTCCCCTTATCTATGCCCAAGCCTAAAGTGTAACAACCTCTCCGCGTTATATTACGTTTACATATTATCGTTAATAATAAAATGTTTCTTATCCCATAACTTTATACATACTATGTATAATTATTATGCAATATTAAAGTCCATATTATCATCCACACTACCTGACGCGAGCGTTTATCTTAATTCCTGTCTCTATACCAAACAGGAGCACGAAGCGATATTAGTCTATTTTTAAGATTTTCTCGTTTTTAGTATACATTGAATGTCGAGAGATGTCCATTCATGTCTATTTACTTTATTTATTTGCCGTATATGTTACGTATGAATTAATCACTTAATTCCGCTCGATAGCCTCGCGCTCCTGTGAAGACACTGCAATTACACATTTCGATTCGAGAAGAAGAACTCAATATATCACACGCACAAGGTGAGAGAGACATTCGTCGAACTACAAACGTAAATTTGATTTTAAATGTAAAAAAATCATCACCTTTAAATATTCATTTTACACTATTTAAATATAATAGTTTTTTTTATCTTAAATAAGTTTTCGATATAAAATTGTCCCGACGAAGAAAGCCAGATGACGGCAAATACCAGTTAATAGGTGGTTCAGATCAAACGATAGATTCGTCTTGGGAATCGTGTACATATGAACGCGATCAATCGAGAAATAAGAATCTAGATAGTAAATAAGATCAACTTATCGAATCCACAGGACGAATATATAGTTATCATTCAAACTACCTAACAGCATTTGGTGACGGCTAAACGACCAGAATTGCGAAGAGCCGAATAGAGAATTGCGCATACACGCATCTAAATGCGTGTCAGCCCACCACAATTCCGGTGAGGTGGTAATTTTTATTTGTAGGTCGGAAGATAGAGAGGATCCAATAAAACGGATTGGGCACGATGGGTATCAACATTGTTACCAACCACTCAATATGAGAGTAAGTTTGCTGAATTTGCCAAAATCGACCACGATGTCGTCTCGTGCCTAACGCCTCCCTTCTTAATTGCATAATGTTTCCCTTTTTTCATTATGCGTCGTCTTCTTCATCTTCTACCTCACCTTCTACCTCACCTTCCGCATCGTCATCTTCTTCATCTGCAACGTAACGATAACCAATGTTTCAGTCTCAGTGAACATACTTATGTAAAAATCCATTTGGGACGCACAATTTAGATAAATCGCTCATTTACCTTCTCCTTCTTCTAAATCTTCTTCACCCTCAGGTATGTCATCATCATCATCGTCTTCCTCTCCGTCACCGTCCACTTCTTCCTCTTCTTCAATTTCTTCTTCGATCTCCTCCTCTTCTACCTCTCCATCACCATTTTCCTCCTTTTTCTGTTTCTTCGTTTCTTCATTCTTTTCCTGTAATATGAGAAAAAATTTATTTAAAAAGAATCCTTCGATAAATAGACAATAGTTTAGCCTTTTGAGGAATTATTATCAATTACGAATATCTCGACGACGCATAAATTTATATTCAACATCGTACGTTCTGCGCGCGTAGAGGAAAGCGTACTCCCCTCTTTTACCACATTCAACAAACGATAAGGAAAGAAAATTCGGCGTCGTGCGGCAATGACGAAAGAGACGAGGACAGAGGAAAGCATATACCGGCCGGCGAGCGATACAAGGTCCCTTCCCGCCAAGAAATACGGTGGCGCGGAAAGGAAGGTGGTAGTGGTGGTGATGGTGGTGGTGGTGGTGATGGTGGTGGTGGTGGTGAGAGAGGGAGACTTTCCCTATCCGCTAAAATACGGTAGGACAGGAAAAGGGAAATGGCGGAGAGAATCCACGCGTCTACCGAGTGAGTCGGCGGCGCCGAAAACACGAAGAACAGGTAGTAGAGAGTATCACCACTTTGCCGATAAACGTTTAGCTTGGTGTGCGCGGAGCTATCCCGTGACTTTGCTCCCGCGCATCACGAAGCGCGTTCACTAAAGATATAGATGAGAAAGAGAAAGAGAGACCGGTTAATCATACTTTTACATTAAATAAAAGCAAAAAGGGAACGCCACTCCACAGAGGTGCCTCACGCACGTTCCTGCGCGCGCGCGCGCAACGTTAATTCCTCCCATCAGCCCGCCTAACCGAGAATTGTAGAGCCATGCCCTTGATCCAGTCCCGATGGTCTGTAACGGCCATAACGCAATAAGCATCATAGTTTTATCGATTTCGAGAGTGGAGGAGGGGAGAATGGGAGAGGAGAGCCGGCAGCCAGTAACCAAGAGCGGAATTTGCTCCGAGGGCAACCTGAAAACATGCCGCCAACGACAAACGTCGTCCGGTATATCATTAGAGATCACGATTCATCGGCGATAGCGAGAAAAGACGGAGGCGCGCGCGCGCGCGCGCTACACGTCCGCTCCAATACGAAGAGTGACGAAGCGACGCTCTCGCAATGATTTCCGACATTCGGCATATTCGCTCCGGCTTCGTGAGAGTCACGTCGGTAACGCCGGACTCGTGACCATACGGCGTTGCTGGCCGACCATAGGGGAGTGGATAGGTTGATGGTGACGACTACAACGATGCAGCCGACGATGACGACGGCGGCTGCAATAGTGGTGGTGAAGTGGTGGGATGGCGGCAACGGCGACGGCACAGCCGGCTGGCGTAATAGTATACACGCGCCGTGCGTATCGGCGGGTACAAGAGAGCGGCTTCGGATGCGCGCGCGGGGTCGCACCGGCCAATTGGAAGCGCGCGAGCCGGCGACGCGCGGTGGGGAAGAGCGCAGTGATTGGCAGATGACGGAGCCGTGCGCGTCGTGGCGGGGACACGACGTTCGCGCTGCGTGCAATTCGCGAGCGAGCGAGCGAGCGAACGAACACGCGAGCGAGACAAGGCGATTGAGAGGAAGATAAGGGAGGAAGATACCGAAGCGGCGTGCCAAGTGTCGTACGACGCGAAGCCTTCGAATAAGAGCATAAATCTAAAAGAGAGCCGTGCATTCCGCGGGACGGATATCACGTGGCGTTGAACGGCCAAAGGGGATACCAGGAGGGAGGACAGCTCGCACGTTTCTGCGTTTTTTCAAACGCGATCGATCGTCACGATCGAGTAACAATAATACCGGAAGTAAGCGGCGGCGCGCGATTCGCTCTCTGCCATGGCGGGCAAGAGTTGGAGCAAGATCAAGACATTCGACGCTCAATGTTACGCTCTTTTCCCTCTTCCCCCTACCCTCTCTGTCTGGAGTAATTGTATCGCCATGTACAGAATCGACCTGTTGCGATAAACCGCTAATGAAGGATCGGTTACCGACGGCGTCTGTACACAATGGAAACTCGATCGAAGAGCTGACGCGCGCGTTACTTCGAACTCGCCGTCGCCGTCGCCGCCGCCGCTCTTCTCCCATTTGTCGAATCACGAGCGTACGACGCGTCCCGATGTGAATGACAGCGACATATTCACGCTGTTGATCGCTGGACGACCACGACGACGCTACCGCACTGGCTACCGCGTTTACTCGTCGTTATCCCCGCACGCACGATTACCTATCTGTTCGTTTTCCAATCACGAGGTCTCCTCAGATAACCCGAGGCTCGTAACCTAACCTATCGCGTAGACTGTACCCTTAACAATTTCTTCGAGCAAATGATCAACGCGATGAGCAGGCGTTACGTAATTGACACGTGACATTTGTGAATCGCGTCGGTGGATTATCAGCAAGATCGGCAATCCACGGGAATGCGCTCGCGATAACCGAGCTGACTTTTCCCGGAATCGAAGCTGAGTTACCCCTTCTTTCTCACCGTAGCGATCATCGCGTATTTCGAGAAGACCGAGATGTTTCTCGACGAAAACTCTGTGAATAACATGAGGCATGACGATCAATCAAAATCGTGGCGTGCGCTTTCGAAACATGCGTAATCGGTTTAATTAGGATAATTAAGCGATAAAGAGGTACGCGCGCGCAAAGAGTCGAGCGCCACGAGAGACGCGACGATAACCATTAAATGCAATAAGTTATTTCTGGCTGGCGGAGCATCGATCCATAACTGCGTTATCCGATCGACGCGACGCCTTTTCCCGCCTTCTCTCGATAGAGGACCGCCAGCATTCGATTGCCGGACTATGGTCGCATCCTATCGATATCGAAAAGGAAGAGAAAAAAAAAGGAGAGATGAATACAGAACAACAATTCCGAAAAGTAAAGTCAACGGAGTCGAACTCGCGTTTGTACTCACGGCGTACAAAACACGATTCACCATTCAGTTCTCCCTCTCGGAAGCTTCCCGCCTTTTTCCCGTTCGCCGGTTACCGGAGCGATGCTATCTCTATATATATATATATATATATATATATATATAGTGTGTGTGTGTGTGTGTGTGTGTGTGTAAAATTCTTTTTTTGCATATGTATAATATTTTATATACGTTCATGCACGCGCACGCGCCACGTGTAGAAAAAGATAGGTATATATATCCTAGCGAAAAGAACGCTCATAACTCGTCCTTTTCCAGTGCTTCTCCGCTATCCTCTCCTCCCCCATTCATTCGCGCGTGTGCACGCGCGCGCGATCTAGCGAATTAATAGATACTTTGAAAGAGGAAGAGTCGTCGACGTAATAAGGACGCGTCAACCTGCGGTGAACGTGCGTGTAAGCGGCGCTCCGACCTTTCCACGTGACGCGATCGACGCGATTGTTGGAGAAAGAAGTCGCGACAACGTTCCTTCGGATTTCCGCCGTCCAACGGACGTTCGTTTCTTGTTCGTGCCTTAGGAAACGCAATCGCATGGTAAATTATCGGCTAAAAATACAGCCTATCGCGACAACCGCGGTCGACGGCGCGATGGGCGGCGGGGTGCCGCGATTTAAGATGAAAAATCGCGGCAACGATGTTTTCTCGAAGGTTCGTACTAACGTGCCGCCGCGCGCGACCGCCGCAGTCGCGAAGAGAACAGGGAGGTAGGAGAGCATACCGGGTATATAATGCACGGCGTTGCCGCTAGCTGCGCAAGTGGGGTACGTTCAACGAAAAGATAGAGAGAGAAAGACGAAGCGTGCCGCCGCCGCCGCCGCCGCCATCACCATCGCCACCGCCGCTGTACATTGGCAATGCCGAAGAGAGCGAGATAGATGGATCGAGAAAGGAGAAGAAAGAGATACTCGTACAGACACAGCGAGAGAAAAAGGAAGCCTTCGTCGCGGTGTTTATGCACGCAGATTGGTAAACAATTCAGGGCAACGTGTCGTTCTGGAATAGATACGTGTCGGTCGTCTATTGATTGACCGTCGTGCGCGATTAACCCTCTTATAGCGAATTATCGATCAATTACGGTAAAAAGAGAACGCGTACGCGTGGGAGCGTGACGAGAGAGAGAGAGAGAGAGAGAGAGAGAACG